TCTGGCTGGTCAAAATTCAAACATTTCCTAACACTGCGTGACCTCTGGCATTTTATAATGTTATAGATTCTCAATAGTTGTACTTTCCCTATTTATTGTTATTTTCCTGGCCTGTATAGTTTCACCTTATGCATGTGCAGTTTATCATTCTGACATACAATCAAGAGGGACCCCTATGCAGATTCCTGGAGCTCCACTTATGTAGCTTTCTCCTCTGTGGTGCTTTGCCCTACAAATTCCAGCTGCCCTACAGATACCCTGAACTTACATCTCTGTCTCCTCAACTTAGTGAGTCTGCTATGGTCTGCTTAGATTCTTCTGTGCTCTATTTAGATTCTCCTTCTTGCTGTGGGGTCCAGAAATTGCCTCCAAGCAGAAAGCCAGGGTGATTATAGGACTCACTTCATTTGTTTCCCTTCGCCTAGGGATCACAGTTCTGCACTGCCTGTTGTCCAATGTTGTCTTATATATTTTGTTTGGTTTTCTAGTTGTTTATAGTAGGAGAGCAAATCCATCCATTTATTTATTTATTTATTTTAATTTCAATAATATTTTATTTCATCCAATGTGTCCAAAATATTATCATTTCAACATGTAATACATACAAAAAATTACTAATGAGATATTTTACTTTTATTTATACAAAGTCTTTGGCCATTCCATTTGTTATGTCATAGCTAGAACTGGAAGTTTGTTTTTTTAAGTATTTGTATCTATAGTAAAATTAATTCTCAATTGAAATTAATTATGTCTATCTCTAGGAATAAATCCTCCAATTGCAAACTAAGTGAATAATTGTTATTTCTCAACTTGCTCAGGATTTTAATGTATTAGCTATACTGGCACTTTTACAGGCAAGCTGGCAAAGAGAAAACTGTTCCAGTGGGTGCTAATTTTGTTTCAGTATAAGTTAGTATCATCACTGGCTTTATAAGCAAGTTGGTGTATGTTTGTGTATGTATCTTCTATTTTTATAAAAGACTTTCTCCATTGTGTTTTCTTAATCTCTTTATATTAAGAAGAATAATAGATACATTATTACCTAAACCTTGAGGAGAATTTTGCAGCAAAACTGCCAGTTTCCAAGAAAGAGGGAGAAAATAATGGGAATTACTGGCTGGCATTTTTATTTTATTTAGCAAGTGAAAACAACCCACTGAGCCAGAACTTATTTACGTTAGGGTTCTGGCAGACTACAGCTACAGCTAAGAATTACCAGTCATTCAAAATGCAAACAAGAATCACTCAAAACCTATAGTAATAATCTTATACTTATCACTTCCATACCTCTATGCTGAAGTAAAATACCTGGTTTTTCTGCTGCATGCAGAAATTAATTTATCTTAAGCCAATATCTGGCTATCTGAACGACAGTTTAATCCTAAATCTCTTTTTTATAAGTTCATGGTCTTTGGAGGGAGGAGTATACTGAGATGTGAGGGTATTATTTTTATTTCATTGTTTGTTAGTTTGAATAGTTTTTTGAGTGTTTCTAAGAATTCTTAGGACATTCTATCATCTGTGTGTTAGTCCCAAAAGACAATTCCAGCTGAACAGTCATTTCCTGTGTTGGCTTATTTGTAAATAAGATTTTTGTCTGTCTCCACAGGAAAAGATGTATAGAGTTAACCTTCCGGTAACATCTAATATGGCGTCATCTGTTAATGCCACAATAGTCCTGAGGTTATAAAATGACATTGGATAGTTATCAGGTGTCTTCCTTCTTGGGTTTTGGATAGTTATCAGGTGTCTTCCTTCTTAGGTTTAGTGTAGTAACTACCCAGACTTCAAAACCCTCTTATGTAGTGATCTAACTAGATTAGATTCTCTTATTTATATTGGGCCTAATCTTTGTTACTATATGATAATATACCACACTTTCTCAAGCTTTCCTTCTACCAAACGTTACAATTTTCAATTATGTAATACCTGATCTCTCTAACAGGCAGAAGTGGATTCCCCCTGCTCCAGTGTGAGTCCTCATCTCTACCATGTTTCTCTGCCTTCCTCCTTTGTATTAAAAGGTGACTAGAACCAAAATGGCAGAAAGAGAGAGGTTTGGGCTCTACATTTTTCATCATCCTGACATTGTGTTCTTGTAGCAGAGGGAGCAGTTCTTGGTGATTGCAGCATCTAATGATGATGGCAGTAGCTTTCTTAGAGTCTGGAGTCTTTCCTCAAACAGAAACTACATTGATCATTGCTATTTGTAGCTTCATTTCTGGATGGTGTTCACAGAAGAATCATTTCTGGGTTCTCTGGTGGCAATTGTGATATCATACAGGTTGTTTAAAGTTCTTGCTAGAAAGACATCCATATTATGCCACGCAGTGCCTCTTTCTGTTGTTTTCTGAAGGAGGCATAGAGATTCTGCCTCTTGACCAGCTGAGTGAGTTATTACCCTAAGGATACCCAAAACTCACTCCATCCGCCTTCTGAACTCAGGTCACTAAAAGAGTAGATAAAAGAGTAGATCTCAAAGTTATCTTCCTGCTTCGTCATCCCAACCACCCCTCCCAATGTGGAAGCATTAATTTTATGCACATTCAGTCCCAGAAGTAGCCCATAATTCCTCAAAGTGGATATTGAAACTAATTGTACTAGTGAATACTATATTACCTGTGTTAGTATTTTCAAGAATACATGTGCTGATTTAAAGGAAAATCTCAGCTAGGAAAAGATCAGTGTAGGGGAGGAAAAAGTTTCCTTAACCCTCTTGGGGTCCCTGGCTAAGTCTGAAAATTAAACTGACAGAGACAAATTAACAGGAGAAAAGCATACAAATTTATTTAATAAAAGTTTTATGTGACATGGGAGCCTTTAAGGAAATGAAGACCCAAAGAAACAGACCTGTGTATTTTTTTTTTTTTTTTTGTGAGGAGATCAGCCCTGTGCTAACATCTGCCAATCCTCCTCTTTTTGCTGAGGAAGACTGGCCCTGGGCTAACATCCATGCCCATCTTCCTCCACTTTATATGGGATGCCACCACAGCATGGCTTGCCAAGCGGTGCGTCGGTGCCCGCCCGGGATCCGAACCGGCGAACCCCAGGCCGCCGCAGTGGAGCGTGGGCACTTAACTGCTTGCGCCACCGGGCCGGCCCCAGACCTGTGTATTTTATGCTAGGTTTGATGAAGGGTGGACAGTCATGTAGAAATGTGGTAGGTTAAGGAGTATGAGGTACTTGTAAACTGGGGGAGACTTAGCAAGGCCTGTTTGTTCAGATTCTTCTTGGCGTCCCTTTGTCTTTGGCAATGAGGATCCTCCTTTACTCTGGGTATAGGGAGGGCACCTCTCACACGAGGGTTTTATAACCTGATTCAGGGGAGAACGGCAAGAGGCATGGGAGGTCACAGTGACCTTCCTGCTTCTGCCGTTTTCTCAAACTCCTTCAGCTTAAAATACTCAGTATGCCAAGGTGCCATATTTTGGGATTGTGTCCTGAACCCCATCATCAGCCATTCTTGTGCACACCCCCAGAAAAAACATTTATTCCTTTATTCCTTCTTGATAAAATTATGTCTGTTGATGCTTTATCACCACTGACTACATCCAAGGAATATTCTGATCCGAAAAATTGGGGGGATAATAGAAAAAATTATTTCCTCTTAGACAAGTAGCAACAAAATGAGTGTTTTCCAGAAGTAACTTGACCAGGAATCAAAGGGAAAGCTAAAAAATAGAAATGTATAAGTTTGCAGAGCACAGATTTTTTTATATCAAAGAAACAAGTTTAACTCACTTTGGCTGAAGTCCCTTTCCAAGCATACAGATTAAGAGTTTTCTTCATCGCTTTGTCATGAAGCCTGTAGGATGGATATTTGGGCAGATCCTGTCCTTCATTAATGTTTGACTGCTTCATCTGTTTCTCATAGCTATTATTTGATCTTGGTCTTTCCATTAGCCGTGTGGCCCTATGGCAGTTTTGAGTCTGTTTACCTCCTTTTAGCTGCCTACTCGGAAAAGCAAAAAGACTTCTAGTATACTTCCAAGTTCCATAGCCCTATTGGACTCTCTGTTTCCAACAGGAGGCATGTCCCAACTCTTCCTACCTAATGAGATTCTCTCTGGGAAACTCAGTCTTGTCCTTTCCTTTTCCCACCCTTCCTACTTTCCAGAAAAATAGTTTTTTCCTAAGGCTTAGAATATAAAAAATACATTACCGGGGCCGGCCCGGTGGCGCAAGCGGTTAAGTGCGCGTGCTCCGCTGCGGCGGCCCGGGGTTCGCTGGTTCGGATCCCGGGCGCGCACTGACGCACTGCTTGGCAAGCCATGCTGTGGCGGCGTCCCATATAAAGTGGAGGAAGATGGGCACAGATGTTAGCCCACGGCCGTCTTCCTCAGCAAAAAAAAAGGAGGATTGGCGGATGTTAGCACAGGGCTGATCCCCCCCCAAAAAAAAAAAAAAAAAATACATTACCATGTACATACTATTTCAAGTAATCATGAAGTTTATTAAAAATGCATATATGGAGTAATAGAATAATTAAAAAGAAAGATAGCTTCCTTCTGCAAGATGAATATTCACATTTTTTTGTTTTCTTGATACCAAATAGCTATCCATAGAGATTTATGCCAAAGATGTTGGCAGCATTTACATCAATTACTCGTGTTTTATGGGAGAAAGTGAATGAAGGGGGAGTTTTCTGTGGAAAGGATTATGCACTTTGCTTTTCTCAAGTTATTTTTATTTATATTTTATTTCAGTCTTTATTTCTCTTGGCTTTCCTTCTAGTGGCAATCTATTCTCTTTTATTTTTCTTTACATTTAAAAGTTTTCTACTCCGCTTCCAACTTTATTGTTTTGTTAAAACTTAATCCTCAAAATATGGAATTTTCTGTTTAAAATTAATAGTTAAAAACATGTTAAAGTTGGTTCTTCACTTTAGATTCTATTGGTCTCTTAGAGTAAAGTGAAAAAAGGACAAAAGAAAATAATTCTCTTGTACTGCCCTCCAGGAAATCCTTCTCTATACTTTAAAAGTTCTTGTTCTTTTCTAGGAGTCCAATGTGCTGATTGCTGCTAACAGTCAGGGTACAATTAAGGTAAGCTATTTTATACATCTCCATTTTAAACTCAGATCCATTTTTAGACTATAACCGACTCTAACTATAACATAGAAATATAGAGTTGTACTGAGCCTTAGAGATCATTCTGAATCATGGGTGTCTGTCTGCTTGGAAATGGCTTTGATTGAAGGGGAAAAGAATTGGTAGCTTGCAACTATGGAGAAAATGATAGTGGTTGTTAGAGGTTATGTGAATGCTGAATGGATTGATAGGTGGCCAGAGTGAAAATCAAATGAAGACTATTAAGCATTCACTGTGGGCCAAGCATTGTTTAGCTTCTCTTATGCTGGTGCAGCTACCCCACAAGGCATTCAGTGGACAAGGTCCAAGATGTGGCAGGAGATGCTGAGACTTCAACAGATTTAAAAATATCTCACTCTTCTTTTACTCTTCTCTTCCTCATTTCTCTCTTCCTTCTCTTCCCTGACGAGTAGGTTTTTCCACAGTTGCCAATGGTAGAAAAGGTATTTTAGTGATCAGTTGAAAATTATTGATCATGTGCTCGTGCCATTAGTGTAATTTGAAAACTTAAATGTCTGTTGGCACACGGTCTCAGTCACAAATTCATACGTAGTTTTCCATATACTTTTTTTGTGGTTAGGAGCTCCCAAGAGAGTAGAAATTTTATTTAATTTGTAACGTTGGATATTTATCACTTGGGCACCATATGTATTGGATAAATAAATCCAGAGCTAAGCAGTGAACTTTTTAAACGAAACACCACTTTGGAGGAGGGTTTTAGTACATGGGTTTGATTAGCACTTATTCTGTGGGTATGAGTTCTTTCCACACATTCTCTGCTGATATAGAAATATCAGGAGGTTTTTGTGTTGGTTTTTTTATATGTATCTTTTTTCCCCTGCCACTTAGCATTAATTTTGCCATGGCTTCCGGCCGCTCATCCTGAGTGGAGAATGACCCAGCAACCGAGGGAGCAAATCAAAGCCTAATACATTGTCCTGCGGAGATGAAATAAGCAAACTCAAAGCAGAACTGCATTGTTAGCTGGTCAAACTCATGTACATGGTGTACTCTTTTATATGCAGCTAGTTTCTCTATTTGGAAAGCCTCATTAGAGAGCCATGGACAACTTAAATGAAAACCAGGCTTTTGAACTGATCAATATCTGGAAGACTCAAGCAATATCGTAGAAGGTCTTGGAATCTCTGTTTTAAGTGGCTCTCTACAGTCTCTAAAGTCTCTATCTTATTCTGATGGCAAGGCATATATTGAGAAAGCTGCATCTTATTCTTCAACAAGTTTGGCATTTGTGGCAATTGGAATTGCTAACATATTTGCAGAAGCTCAAAGCTACATATGTACTTATAGAATCTCATTGACAAATCAAAGATTTTTCTCAACAGCATTGACCTCTTATGTTAAGTATCCTTTTTGCCAAATATAAAGACAAAAAGCATTATGGAAACACAGGTATAAGTCATGCCTTAGCAGAGCAGGAGGGGAGAAGTTGCTCCTTTAATTCTTTGCCACCTACAATTGCAGTTTCCATGTAACATAATCCTTTTTGACAGTGTCTCATAATTGTCCGCATGTTCTATGTCCTTTCTTAGCCATTTCTTCTACTCTTTTATAACTGATCGTTGCTTCTTATTTATAGCTTTAGCAATATCACAACTTTCTTGTGGGACAAGATACTGCTTTAATAACTAACAAAATATCTTGACACCAGATGATTGACTAGAAAATGAATCAATCAATAGGAAAAGGCAAGATTTCAGGTCCTGTATACCTTGATCACTATAAACTATTTACAAATGGAAGAAATAAATAGATTAAAATCCTAAATAGTGATACTTAAAATTTTCTTAAGAATGTGGAAAGATAACAACATATAACTAAAAAATGTTATATCCATGCTATGCATCGGCCAGTTCATTTATCCATATGTTTTATATAGTTGACCTCGAAGGCTCCCTAGTTAACTGTGGAAATAACTAATCTGAAAGAGTTGGTGCAACTGTTGAATTGAAAGTAAGAAAGGATTAATGTCTAATCCCTTCAAATTCTTTGGCATTTTAGCAGTTGAGAAAAGTTTTCTTGATTTGGTTCTCCATTTACAATATACTAAAGATTCATTAAACGCTTTCTATATTTTACAACTATTTTATTGAACTGACCCTTTTTTCCCCCCCATTAGGTGCTGGAGTTGGTATAAAGGGTTTACTCAAGTTAAATTGTACTTGATCCTGCTGAAATACATCTGCAGTTGACAATGAGAGAAGACAGAAACTGTCATGTGCTGTTTCTCCCCAAAGTCATCATGGGTTTTGGATTTGTTTTGAGTATTTTTTTCTTTTCCTTTTTTTCTCCTTTATGACCTTTGGGACATTGGGAATGCCCAGTGAACTCTCCACCATCAATGTAACTCTATGGACTTTGCTGCTGTTGGTGGTGTGGTTATCTAATTTTTGTGATAGGGAAACAAATTCTTTTGAATAAAAATAAATAACAAAAAATAATAAAAGTTTATTGAGCCGCAGTTGATCTGGGAAAGTTTTGTCAAATGTGGTGAGAGATAATTTTTTTAAGAAGTGGCACGCATGAACTATAGAATAATGTACCAACGAATAATTTGTAAGGTTCATACTTCTCGACGCCTTTGAATTGTGTATCAACATAAAAAAAATATAAATTATATGGATTTCTGCCAGTGAATTTAGTGTTTACCAAATTAATAACTTTACCTTATGAATCCATTTCTTCATTCTCTGACCAGATTTATATCATCAGCAAGTGCCATACTCCTCAATCCCTCTGGATCTGGCCAAGAATCTAAAATTTTGACCTGTTGAGACCAGTTCAAACAAAAAGGCCATGTCAGTCTGTGACAGCTATCTCTGTCTTTGCCTTTGAAATGTCATATATGTGTATCATAACCCCTAAATGCAGACAAACCAACTTATTTTGTAAAATCATAGCTATCAGATAGTCATATTCATTGGTATCATCCTGGGCTGAACAGTGAGTTAGAGCAGGAGTCAGCAAACTTTTCTGTAGAAGGCCAGATAGTAAATATTTTGGGCTTTGCAGGTCATATGGTCTCTGCCACAACCACTCAACTCTGCCATTGTAGCAGGAGAGCAGCCAGAGGCGATGTGTCAACAAATGTGCATAGCTGTGAAACAGGTGGAGGGTTGGCTTGACCCACAGATCATGGTTTGCCAGCCCCTGACTTAGAGGAAAAGAATTTGAAGCTCTATTACATGAATTTCCAAGCCATGTAATCTCGTAGACTGCCTAGTTAATTTTATAAGTTGTTTTCAATTTGTAAAAGGAGAGAAGTTAGTAGTTAGACTAGCAGGTAAAGCAAAAGTAATGTGAAACTTTCTGTTTGAGCTGCTTTAAAAGTCTGGACACTTTTTACAAAAAGATATAAACAGAATTATACTCCACACATATTTTATAAAAACAGACACTTGGAGAAACTTGGTATGAATAAGTAGGTGAATGATAAGGGTAATCAGAATATCTCACTGTATCCTTCTACTCAAAATTATTGAAACCTACTACAGGTCCACATTTCATTATCTGAAACCCTTGGGCCAAATGCATTTTGGAATTTACAACTTCTTGAATTTTCGATTAGTAATAGAGTACATAGTATACTATATATTATGTAACACTCTCCAACAGAGTGTGGAACAATATTATCAGACACATTAATATTTCTGTAGCAAAATGTATGAAGGTTCATACTATATGGGATTAATAAAGGCTAAAAATAGTCTTGTATCAGTTCAGGTCAGTTTTTACCACCAAATGAGTTTGCCTCAAACTTATGTGAAATTTTTCAGTTTTCAGAGCTTCAAGATAATTATATCTTACTAACCTCCAGGAGTGAAGATCCTGATAAACTTTTGGACTCAATTCTGAGAGGAAGGGTCACAATCATTCAAAAGTTACATCTGTCATAAACCAGAACAATATTGGCCTTCATTTCTGAGATTAATTTATGACCTTTTGCAAAATGTAGCAAGATTATTCAAATGCAGATTCTTCACTTAAAAAACTTCACTTAGGCAGATGTGTACAGAAAATCATCAAAATAGGAAGCAGAGAGTTGATGCCTCTTTGAATGAATTTAAACAGAAGTGGATTATTATGGTTTTTAATTTGGTGTGACTTGTTTTATTTTTATGTTTTATTTCAAGGTGTCAATATTGTTAGGGTCAGGTTTGGAAGGATGCAATAAAGTACCTTTAGTTATCAAAGGGACACGATTTTTTAATTTTTATTTTAAGAAGGCAGTACTTTATTTAAATTTGTATTTTAACTCTTTTTCTTATAAATAGTGAAACCATTTTTAAATTTGAGTTAATCTTTGTAGGATGTCAGCATCAAACTAATAGTACTATTTTTTGGAAAAATAATAATTAAATAAAACTTAAAGATAATGTACTTCTAACTCAAGAAGAATATGGGTTTTTATGTTTCAATCTAATCTTTATTTTAGTGGATTTGTAGGGGTTTCTTAGACAAAGTTGACTTTGTTCTCAGGCACACAACTCATGCATAAGAAACATTAAGGATTAAAGAACTTTGTAAAGTTCTTGTAAGAAGATTGAGCTACTAGACATCAAAAAACTTATGGGACCGAGCCACACTCAGAAAGATGAGCATGGCTGGACCATTGGTATGCAAGGAAGAGACGAGTATGGGATGAGTTTGAAGAGATAGAGGAGTCCACTAGATATGTGGAGCCTTCTAGGGCATGGTTGAGAATTTGAATTTTGTTATAAAAGCAGTTAAAAGGAAGGGTTAAATGCAATGGGATGATCTCATTTATGGTGAATGGATAGATGAGGGCAAGAGTGCGATTAGGAAGCTGATAGTCAAGAGTTAATGGTGCCTTGGACTAGGGTGGTAGCATGATCCAACCTAAAAGCCTGTTTCAGCTTTAATAGAGTTTACTACATTCTTAATTCCAAATCTTAGAAGATTCTTGATTAATTTTTAAAGTCATTTGACAACAAAGAATACAACTCAGCAGAGGTATTTCTTCAGTGGTTATGCAAGTCTCCACCAGCAGTAAGTCACTAGGGAACCTCATGGCCAAAATGTCCGTGTGCTATTTTGGGGACACCACTTCTCTAAGCTAAAGTGAACTAGAAGCTACCTGCCTTGGTTCTAATATAAAGGCAACTGGTCATTGCCCTTAATGTAATTATGCAAATATAACTGGGATTAATAATCAGGAGAAGTCTATTTACTTCATAATGAGACATTAGGAAGTGTTAACTTGGAGTCTGTTGTGTTACATGACTGACATTAACGCTTAAAATAGTAGCACCTTGTAGTTCCTCCCAGAGCAGTTAGTTACCAACTCTTATGTGGCTTCTGGTTGATGTGTTAAGTACTCCTGGAATCTTGGACTGAAGAGAAAACCATAGTGATCATTCTAGAAATATTTGTTGAGCTCCTCCTTTGTGGAAGGGAGGCACTATATGCTACATACTAGGGATATAAAATAAATAAGATATGATCCCTACTCTCAGCTTATTGTCTAGTGGGAGAGACAGATAAGAATACAGTGTATAAGTACCGTAGTAGATGTAAATTTTAGATATACATAGAAAAAACATACAACCTAGAGTGGTAGGAGAGTGAGTGTGAGGGCTGCGAGTAGAGGCAGTTAAGAGGAATTTTTGTCCTGGAGGAGGTAACATCTCAGCTGAATCCTGAAAAGCAGGTAGGAGTTAAGCTATAAGAGGTAAAGGAACACTCCAGACGAAGGGCAGCAAAGAAAAAAACATGAGTAGCTCCTAGGGGCCAAAGTTGAAACAATTTGAGCAACAAAATAAACTAGTATTGGATTATAGATTATAACCCAAAATATAAAATAAGTATCTGTGAGTCCATACTGATATAAATAAAGGAGAGAAGAGATAAGTTTCCCATGCAGAATTCCAAATTATGTAGGTACTCCACCCTCAAGGAGATGGACCATAATTCCCCACTTCTCAAGTATGAGCTATGCATAGTGACTTCCTTCCAAAGAGTACAGTATGGAAAGAGAAAAAAAGAGTAACTTTACAGTGGAGAAAACTGACAAACTCTACCTTAGCCAAGCATCAGGGTCAACATCAATAGTTACAACTCATGTTGATAGTATGTATTCGTTTTTTTTAATCTTGTTTTGTGAGGAAGATTAGCCCTGAGCTAACATCTGTTGCCAATCCTCCTCTTTTTCCTGAGGAAGATTGGCCCTGAGCTAACAGCTGTGCCCATCTCTGTGTATTTTTTTTTTTAAAGATTTTATTTATTTATTTATTTTCCCCCCAAAGCCCCAGTAGATTGTTGTATGTCATAGTTGCACATCCTTCTAGTTGCTGTATGTGGGACGTGGCCTCAGCATGGCCGGAGAAGCAGTGCGTCGGTGCGCGCCCAGGATCTGAACCCAGGCCGCCAGCAGCGGAGCGCGCACACTTAACCACTAAGCCACGGGGCCGGCCCTCTGTGTATTTTATACGTGGGACACCTGCCACAGCATGGCTTGATGAGTGGTGCATAGGTCCGCGCCCAGGATCTGAACCTGTGAACCCCTGGCCACTGAAGCGGAACGTGCGAACTTAACCACTACGCCACTGATAGTATGTACTCTTGATATGATGTAGTGAAAATGGCACTTTAACTGTGGTCTTCCTCCCAAAAATTCATAACCCCAGACTAAATGAGAAAAATGTCAGATAAATCCCTATTGAGGGACATCCTACTGAAGACCTGACCAGCACTCATAACTGTCAGGGACATCAAAACAGGGAAAGTGAGAAACTGTCACAGGCATGAGGAGCCTAAAGAGACATGACTAAATGTGATGTGATATCCTAGATGGGATCCTGAAACAGAAAAGGACGTGACATAAAAACTCAGGAAATCTGAATAAAGTATGGACTTCAGTTGATATTAACGTATCAGTGTTGATTCATCAATTGTAACAAATGTACCATACTATGTAAGACATTAATAATAGAGGAAACTGAGTGTAGGATATATAGGAACTCTTGCATTCTTTGCAGCTTTTCGGTAAATCAAAAAAAATCTCTTCTAAAATTAGAAGTTTATCAAAAATAAAAAGGTACAGGGATAAATCCAGTATATACAAAACAAAGTGCAAGACATTAGTGTGAGTGGAAGCTGGAGAAGTACAGACAATAAAAAACAATAACCTGTTCCCGTTATTGCTTTTAAAAAAGTAGAGAGAAACATGGAGTTAAGAGGAGATGTAAGTTACAGTCTCAACTTGGTCACTAAGAAATTGTATAGTTTTGCAAAAAATAGTAAACCTCTGTACTCCATATTTATCTCCACGTTTTACCTACTGAGAATGATAGTCTCATCTCTGTTAATAAATAAGATTATACTCTACAAAGGCCATAGTCGTTACTGTGATTCAGTCACTCATCTGAGTGCCTGCAGTTATTGGTTTCTTCTTTTTACCTGAGATCCTTACAGCTTCTCAATATGAGAATCAGGAAATCTTTCCA